ATTTCTCTAAAAGGATAATTTTCCTCTAAGAGGATAATATATATCGAAAGGGATAGTATTCCTCTAAAAGGATAATATTCCTCTAAAAGGATAATATTCCTCTAAAAGGAAAAAAGAGCACGAATGATTATATCTTGTCTTGATATTTGAAATTTAAGGCAGTGAAGTATTTTGTCCTGAAGAAGGGGGGAGGGGGCTGAATTTTTTTAAATACTCCCCCCCCCCTCCCCAGAACCATGGTTTTCACGTATCCAGGAGGTGCTTGACCCCTGTATACGACCTAGTTTGATATAATTAATAGTTCCATTAAACTTCTTTATTATTTCAGGAGAAAAAACAAGGAATGAGAAAGCCTTCGCTATGATGGATATCAACCATGACGGATATGTGACCAAAGGGGTAATTGCAGTAATCAAATTATGATCAAGCTGATTAAAAATTAATATATATTGATTTCTAAGTGATTTCTAAGTGAAAATGAATAAAAAAAATCACTGTAAAGTAGTAAAAAAATAGAACGGGACAAATACATTTTTTTCATCAAATGCATTTGCAGTTCTTTTATAATAAACAGATTATTTATTGATCTAAAACTAATAGATTATTAATCTAAAATTATCAAATCATTAACTTTAATTTATCAGAATATTAATCTAAAATTATCAGAATATTAATCTAAAATTATCAGAATATTAATCTAAAATTATCAGATTATAAATGTAAATTCAGGAATTTAAACGATTCTGCCACAACCTAAGCGACGAGCAGGTCAACGCTGCCTTCGAGAAGTTCGACACCACAGGGAACGACAAGGAAGGGATTCACAAAATAAAAAGATTAAAAATAAAACTTATTTTTATAATTTCATGTTTCTTAAAGATATTTTTATGTTATCCATTAAATAGTTGAACTATGCTGAGTTCTGTGGATTAATGAACAACAGGTATATATAAAACAAAGTTATTTTAAAGGGATTGTTTCCATATTTAAGAATGCATGTTTTATACCAAATGTTGATGTTCGGGGAAAAAAAAACCTTACCGCTAAAAAGTACAAGGTAGTTGTTATACCTGATTTACTTAAAGGGACTGTGGGCATCATTTTAGTGACTCAATGCAAAGGTGACAATACCCGACTCAGAACGCTACCCCTGAAAACCTTAATCTGATCAAGAATATGGAGGATATCGTTGTTTTTCGAGGTTTAAAAGTGTTCAACACTGATAATTAGTACTTTTTCCTGCAGAAGAATCACTTTTGCAGAGAAACCACAATTGAAAACAATCAATTTTTCAAAAGTATAAACATTGATATCTAATTCATCTTGATCAGACAAAGCTTTTACGGGTACTGTTGTGAATCAGGCAGTGCAATCTTTGTATGGAGGGTTGCTTTTAACAATGCTTACAGTCCCTTTAAACAATTTATTTAAGGGATAAGAAGAAGGACATGTTGAGAAGGGAACAAGCTGGGCTAGATAATTAGAGTCTAAAATCTATCAAACTTGGAGAGATAAAATGTACAAAATAAATAATTCTTTAATCTTTTTAAATTATAATTTTCCTAATTACAATATTTTCCCATTGTAAATTTGTTTTTGAAAATATAAAAGAAATGAAAGAAATATAAAAACAGTTGCGGAACAAAGTCTATTCTTAAATATTTCTATGGCCTTTTAGGGCGCTTCTCAATCATCTTCTATTTCAACTTTTTATTGTGGCTCTATCTGTAAGCATCTTCTCTTTGTACAACATGAAACAATAAAAAAGTTCGGTGGATTTAACGACATTTTTTCGTGGATTTTCAAAATTTTACAGAAATAAGTTGTGTTGAAATTCTGAATTGGGTTCATGTGAGACCCCCAAAAATTGGGACCGATCGTTTTAGCCGTTTTTTCGTTTATTGGATACAAAAGGACAGAAAAAACAAAGTTTAAATAGAAGATATAAATAGATTTTTAAATAGATTTTAAAGTAACTTTAAAACATATTATCTTATTTTGACCAATGAAGAAAAATCCAACCCCACCATAATTTGTTAGGAAAATATGTACTGCACAGTGCTGTGTGAGAAATGTAAACAAGCTTCTTTTCACCAGCAACTTGTGCAGGGGGAGGATCTGGTCTTTCATATACCATTGGCTGTAACAGTAATTAGTTAATGGAACTGTAGGTGTAATTTCATATACCTGGGCTGTAACAGTAATTAGTTAATGGAACTGTAGGTGTAATTTCAAGTGATCCTTCAGTTGTAGAGTTTAGACTTGTTCCAGTCTCAGCCATGAGGAACTTCTCTAGGTTTTTTAATATATAATAAAGCTCTTAGCTCATATATATTGATTTGTTAGCTATAGCTGAATTTATTTTAGAGAACCAATGGATACCTTGTGGCTTGAGGGTTACATAAGCTTAAAAAAATTCATTTTCAATGTTAAAAATTTTTTTCCAAGTCTTTTAAAATTTGTAGGGCAACGCCGGGCACTTTAGCTGGTTTTATATAAAATTTCAATCTGTCTTTATCATAGCAATAGCTCTACAAGAAGACGTGCAAAATCTCAAACTAAGATGAAATGAACCTTAGTTTCTTGTCAATTAGTTCAGCATTATTTTAATTTCAAATTGAGAATTAGCGAGGACGGAAGCTTACTAAAATAATTAATGTCTCTACGATTAAACTTTTTCTTTGTTTCTCTTTCATATCTTATTAAAACAAATTATCCTTTTTTAAAGTTTTGTCATCATAATATGTTCATACAAGCCTGTTCCTTTTTCCTGTTCATTTTCCAGTTCCTGTTCTTTTTCCAGTTCCTGTTCTTTTTCCAGTTCCTGTTCTTTTTCCAGTTCCTGTTCTTTTTCCAGTTCCTGTTCTTTTTCCAGTTCCTGTTCTTTTTCCAGTTCCTGTTACTTTTCCAGTTCCTGTTCCTTTTTCAATTACTGTTCTTTTTCCAGTTCCTGTTACTTTTCCAGTTCCTGTTCCTTTTTCAATTACTGTTCCTTTTCCAATTCCTGTTCCTTTTCCAGTTCCTGTCCCTTTTCCATTCCCTTTTCATTTTCCAGTTCCTGTTCATTTTTCGGTTCCTGTTCCTTTTACTGTTTCTAATCATTAATGAAACTTAAACAAATATACAAAAATATATATGAGGTTAAACTCTATTTATTTTGCAGGCCAATTACCAAATGGAATTTAATATTTTAATAAGTTTTACCGTTTCTCTTATCAAAGTCGTATATTATCCAAAAAAATTCAAATGAACACATTTTAACCATGATTATTGAAAGTTTGATGTGAAAAAGAAATAAACTCGATGTAAGTAAAAGCATAGGACTAAATGTCATAAAAAGACACACAGATCGTTAATAATTTGTTTTCTTAATATGATTAGAGATATATTAATGACATAAAATAAGATGTAACGATTAATTTTTTAAAAAGATTATTACATAATTTATTCTTTATATATAATTTTTAAATTGTAAATATCTGATTTGTCTTAAAGGGACTGTAGACATATTTTTGAGTGACATTCCATTTAAAGAATAGAATGTTCATATTATAAACGTGCCCCTTAAACCTTTTTTACGGTACCTATGAGGAGAAAATCCTCGTTTATTTATCTTTAAAAGCATTAATCTTTCCCAGGAATCCGCGGAAATTCCCAGGAATCTTTCAGAAGAAAATCCGGTGAAAATGTCGACAGAAATTGGAGATTTTCTCGAGAATTTCCCGGGAAAGATTCTCAATTGAGAAATTTCTGGTACAGTGGCAGGGCGGAACTGGAGATTTTCTTGTGATTATTTCCCAGAAATTTCTGGAAATCCATTCCGAGGAATTTCTTGTAACCCATTCCGAGGAATTTCACGTAACCCTTTCTGGGGAATTTCTCGTAACCCATTCCGAGGAATTTCTCGTATCAAATTCCGAGGAATTTCTTGTAACCAATTCTGGAGAACAACTGGAAAAAATGTCGACCAAATTTGGAAACATTCTTGGGAACTTCCTTAGAAAAGTTGCCACTCCAACTTTTTGGAAGTATATCCAACTTATTAAGTCAGATTGTTTTAGTTATTTTTGATCTTACTGAAGTTGTCGAGTCTTGTATTTTGTGTTTTCAGACAACTTAATTGTCTAGAAAAAAGGAACAACTTTAATCATTTTTCCAAAATATTTTTAAAAGATGGTTCTTAAGTTGATTATCATTTTTCATCAATAAGGATCCTGAAAAAAAAGATTTAGTTAGGGCAGTGCATAACAAATGGGAAGCTCAGAGACACCTATTGAAGAAAAACATGACTTGAAAATTCTGTAAAATTGGTACTGAAGTCCTTAGAATTTCTTGAGAAAAATTCCCGAAAAATTCTCAGCAATTTCTCGAGACTATGTCTCTTTTTCAGTTCTCCAAAAAATCCGTGAAATTAGTGACCAAGTCCTGAGAATTTCTGAAGAATTTCCAGAGAAGTATTCCTGAGAAATTCTCAGGAATTTTTCGAGTCTATGTCCCTTATTCAGTTCCCCAAATAATCCAAAAAATTGGTGACCAAGTCCTAAGAATTTCTCAGGAATTTCCAGAGAAATATTCCTGAGTGGGAAAAATTCCGAGATTCTCAGGAATTTCACGAACTAAGCCTCAAAACTCAGATCCTCGAAAAATTTCTCTAATTGGGGATCAATTTCAGAGAATTTCTTGAGAATTTCTATGGAATCAGTCACAAGAACTTGTTCTAGAGAAAACCTTCGGAAATTCTTCAAAGCAAGTCCCCAAAACTGGAGAACTTGGGGAAAATGCTCACTTTTGTTACCTGGGGTAGAGAATATTTCTATATATTCTCTACTCTGTATAAAAGAAAGTTATACAAAGAAAGTTAAGAGAAAAAAGTTTCAGGGAAAACATCTGGAAATAAAACTTGATCAAAAAATTTCCAATTTCCTGAAGTGCCAAGACAAAATGAATTCCTTCTGGAATTTCAGAAGGACTCCAGCCGTTCTTGAAATCCACTTTGCCATTAAGAGATTTATCAAACTTATTTCACTGGTTTATATATTTCATAAAAGAAATCACAACAAAAAATATTCAATAAACACAGATGTACAGTGTACACATTAAGATACATGTTCCTCGCTAAAAAGTAAGTTGGGAGGAATAAACTTTACGAAGATGGTTGAAGAAGGAATATGAGTCACAGGCACAACTAGAGATTTTGTAAGAAGGGGGGGGGGGTCATTAATTATGCATGTAGCTAGTAAAACCTTTTTTGGAACTCAAGCCTTTAAAAGAGAAATAAATAGTTGTACCTATACCTATAGTATGAGTATTACAAAATGAAATGAGTAGATATATGTTATAATATACATGTTTAAATTTAAAATGATGAGATGGGGAAAAGATAAACTTTTTTCATCTGATATATTTCAGATTTAATTCACGAATTCGTCAAAAATTATTATTCCGCAGATTTTTACTGGTTTTTCTTTCTCTAAAATGTTTGTTTTCATGTTAACTAATCTTTAAAACTCAAAGACTTTAAAAACTTTTTTTTGCAAATCTAAAAATGATTTTCGGACACTTGTATTTTTTTGTCTCCTACTATTAGGTTTTGTCACGTAATATATTATCATGTCACGTGATTCTGTGTGATGAAAGGTTAGGGAAGGTGGATGCACCTGGGTGTTATCTGTCTACAACATCTGAATCTTAATCCCAGCAAGGAGTATATCTGGGACGTATCTCACGTGATCAAACTGTGAGAGAAACTTCACAATATTTTCCTTTCCCTGACAGATTGTTTAGTTTAGATTTTAGAATATATTCACGGAAATTATTCATTAAGATGAAGGAGAGGGGAGTGAACTTAGCTGATAATTCCGTCCCAGATGGACACAGGTTTTCGTTTTCGATCCCGCCGGGTCCGGGATCGTCGTCGAGATCGACGATTGGGATTCCCATCGTTTCCTAAACTAGACGGGGCAAACGTGTCGACAATCATCTTCTGTGATGTTTCCTTTAGATTGTCGCAGTTCATTTCTTTAAACATTCTCCTTGCCCGCTTAAACTCCTGGAAATAAATTAAAGCTATAATTTTCGAAATCCTGTAACTACTGATTGCCATCCTTTGAGGTCTGTTTATAGACCTTTTGGAGGCTCTACACTTACAACAGCAATCTGTAATGTACTTCCTTTGTCAAAATAACATGTTTAATAAATTTCCCAAAGAGACAAAACCCAGAACTCTCATGTTATAATCCATAATTACCTTGGATTTCCCATACGGAACTATAATCCATAATTACCTTGGATTTCCCCCACGGAACTATAATCCATACTTACCTTGGATTTCTCCCACGGAACTATAAACCATAATTACCTTGGATTTCCCCCACGGAACTATAAACCATAATTACCTTGGATTTCCCCCACGGAACTATAAAGGTCGGATCAAAATCTCTCCCAAAAGATCCTCTCCGTCCCATGATCAAATATCTTTTCTTCCTAAGCAATAACAAATCATCATTAGATAAATCATCTAAAAGTTATTATTATTATTCAAAACTTTGATTTTTGACTCTGACAGAAGATTATACCCTGAACATAGAAAGGTCGTTGATGCATATATCTTCTGTGAGAATCTACATTATACATCATGAAAAAATTAAAATTTGTTTGTTAAGGGATTTCAGAAATCCCGAAAACGGAAAAAAATCTAAATTAGAGCACACTCTTTTTTTCAAATAAAAATATTGTTTTTAATTAAAAACTTACTTATCCTGTTGAACCCTGTCTGTGCAGCAGGATTCTGATTCTGAGAACCTGAAGGACGGATTCCTCAGAGATTTCAACTCCGCCTTAGTTCCTTTCCAGGCTCGGAATACTCGCGCCTTCTTTCCGGTCAAACGACGGGGTCGAACTTTTGATATTTTCACCTTCACAACTAAATGTACAAATCTATATATATACTTGCTTGTCTGTCTGTCCGTTTGTATCCAATAAACCTCACATGACCCCAGGAAAGGTTTATGGATGCCCAAAATTACAAAAATTTGTTTTTGATTTTTGTTAAAGTTTGAAAATGCGCAAAAAATATTACTTTTTCGGCGAACTTATTTTGTTATTGTTTTATATTGTACAAAGAGAAGTTGCTCACAGATAGAGCCACAATAAAAAAAATGATCTTAAAGATTGGTGCGAAGCGCCCTAAAAGCCTAGTATTTTTTAAAAATATGGCAGAGGAAAGAACCTTATAATATAATAAGAATTTCTTGCTTGATTGCCCGCGCACCTCAATTAAAAAATGTCGAACGAATCATATCCCTAGTAAATCCCTTAAAAATGTGTAAACACATATTCTAAAAGTTTGCTTCATGTTCACTTTATAGTTTAGATTAATAATGAATAGGTTGAATATTGTTGCCTGATAAACATGAAACAGTACATGCAACTCTTTTTGCATTTAACAAAACATGATTTTAAAATTGATGCGTTTAATCGATATTCTTAATTTTCAGAACTTGAGTCTTTGCCACAAACTTAAATTTTCTAATCTTTATATCTTTGAAACTTGATGGGGAAAACCTTATATATTTCATACTTAGATCATTTTATCTAACAGAATTTATATTTAGAATATCAAAGGTCTAGAACATTTTGGGTTGCAAAGATATAGGGATTAGAAATTCAGAGTTTTTGGCAAATCCTCAATTTTTTTTATTTTCAATATCGGACTATGTAACGATTTTTTAACTTTATAAAAATTTTAATCATATATTTGTTAGAGTATGATTTACCAAAATCTGCTCGGCAGAAATTATCCAGAATATTTTCAGCTGTAATATGTTGATCACATGATGTTCCAGTGCAGGTTTCTTCTACAAATACAACAGATTACAGATTTCAATATTTTTGTGGGACGCACGGTGCGTCTGGTCATGGCAAAATCATATCTCTGATAAGCAACCTTCGGTTTGAACAACTAAATTAAAAAAAAAAATATTTCAACTTAATAAAGAAATTGAGTCTTTGCCACAAACTGATTTCAAATTCCTATATCTTTGCAATCCAGGTAATACAAACCGTAAATTCTGTTAGATCAAATCATTTAAGATTGAATTCAAAGGTGAACACAGCTAGGTTTTAAAAATATAGTTTGTGGCAAAGGCTCAGTTCCATTTCACAATTTCCATAATTTGTCGTGAATACCATATCATAATTTTAATCATAAACAAGGAATAATTTTATGAATTATATGCTCGACCAAATAATCGTATTCTAGAATTGTTGATCCCAAATATGCTTCACAACTTAGTACTTCTATGTTTTCATAATTGTTCACGCGGTTTACCAAGAAACTCTCACATTGCATAAATGTTTCAACCACCTTCCCCCTTCCTTCCTTCCCCATCTCTTACCCCCATCCCCTC